CTTCATACAAACACAAAATATAAAATTTAAAACCTTGCATTGACTAAAAGAACCAACCAAAATGTAAAATCACTCCATATAAGCAAAAAATAATTAAGAAAATACTTAAGCAAAAATTAAGCAAATAATTAACCAAAATGTAAAATCACTTCATTAGAAATGAGAGTAAATTGCTTGCAAAAATTTAAGCAAAACTTTCAACATCTGATCATCATATGAAAATTAAGCAAAATATGTATATGAAAATTAAAAACAAATTAAGCCAGATTAATTAAACAAAGAACTAAGCATCTAATCATCAAATGAAGTTTGAGGGTTCAACAAGGCATATAATCAACAAGAAACTGATACAAAAATACAAGCAACAATTTTCTACTAGTAAATCTATCAACTTATCGTCTGCTGCTCCTAATTATAAACTATAAATTATTCACTAAAAGCCTCTGCCTAGCAGGTCCAAAGCAAAATGATGAACCTAATGAAGAACAAATAGGGGCTGATGAACTAAATGAATAAAAAAAATTCAAACAATCAATTAAATCACAAAAAAAATCAGAAAAAAATTATACCTTCAGGGTTTCACTACTGAGTGCCGGTAATGGTGGATTTGTCGTCGGTGGGCTTGGGCAGCCGGACTTGGTCGCAGGCAAGTTGCCGTTGTAAGCCTGTAAGTGCTGACTGTTGAGTGCCGTTGCCGAGTGCCGCTGCAAGATCGCTGTCCGCCACTGCAAGCTCGCCGTCTGCCGCTGCAAGTGTTGGATCTTCTCGCCGTTGGATGCCGATGCAAGTGCTGGGGTGAGGGTTACTTTTTGGCACTGCAAGCTTGCCGATCGCCGTCGGATGCTGGAGGTGATGTCCGCTACAGGTGATCGCTCAGTAGGGTGTGAGGGTTGAGAGGAGTGAGGAGGGAACTCGGGAAAATGGGAAATAACCCTAAAGCTAAAGGGAAAATCGAATAAGGATTCGAACTAGTTGGGATATAATGGGTATTTTATTTTTTGTTTTTTTCATTTAAAAGATTAAAAATAAAAATCTTAACCCGCGAATCGCTGCACGGGTCGAACGGTTTAGCGGTCTGACCGCCCGGGTCAGCGACTTTTTGACTTTTCAATGTTTTTTTCATTTTTCCGATTTCTAGTAAAACCGGACCCGAATGGCTGACTAGTTACCAGTTTTCCGGTCGGATTGTCCAGTCTGGTTTTGAAAACCATGAATTGGAAAGAAGGTAGTTGGGCCCAGGTCGGCCGAGTGAAGTTTAGATACAAATATTTTATTTCTCAAATAATTACTTAGAACTTATGGGTTGGGCCCTAGAGACTCTCGTGGGTTCGGTTGGGGCCAACTCAAATTCTGATAAAAGATTTTTTTTTGTTAATACATGGGAATCAAACAAATAACATACAACAAATTAGGGGTGAACAAATGGGTAGGTTATACCTGAAAAACTGAATGGAACCAATTTCGAATCGGACTTAAACCAATTCTACCTTATAGGGTAGGGTCTGGTCCCAAAAATCTTGGAACTGACCCCCACCTAGGCCGGTTCTAGGGTCTAAGGGTTTACCTTACCTGAATCAATCTGATGAACCAACCTTACTTAGCCTTGGTGGAACTTGCCTTGGAACTGAGCTTGCCTTAAAGTAAATCACAAAATATTTTTGGAGATGTGAGGATTTGAACCCAATAACTCATGGTTACAAAGGCCATTGTTTCACTTGACCTTTGAGTTACTTGGTCTGTGTTTGTTTGCGGTGTAAAACCTCATTGATCTAAAAGTCCATCGATGGAGTTTCAAACTGAACCGTTTGAAATCATTGAATTGTTGAGCATCGAAAAATGTGATTATTGATGTAATATTACAACAATTTTGTTGATGTAGTTTTTACATTGACAATCGATGTAAAACCTCACTATAAGTGACGTTTTACATTGATTTATGATGCAAAACTCTACTCCATCCAAATGTTGACAAAATCGAACCGGCAGTGACATTTTACACCACAAATACAAATATGTAGAGTGCAAAATCTTATATTTTGTATTATTTTGTATGTATTTACACTGTACATATTTGCATTTATACTTCTTCCAAACTGAGCCCTTATATTTAGAGCATTATCAATTGATGCCTTTGCAAAGCCAAACAATCGTCTGCAAATTGGATGATCGGTATTACAGGACTACCCTTGGATGTAAAACTCCCTAGATTTTGTCTTGGATCAGAGTTTGCACACATCAACTTAGGTTATGTTTGGTTTGAAGGAAAAGGAAAGATTGTTTCCAATTTCCATATCTAGTTTACAAGTAAAGACTCATGTCCTTCTCTTATTTTTTTTTCATTGAATTGAATAATTAACGAGCTATTAGAATATTGTCCATAATTTGCCTTGTTGGACCAAATGCATTTTGAAAATAAGAAATGACGCTATTAAGGATTGTTTTGACCCTGTTGACCAAAATTTTAGTAGTTGCTTTTATGTACCACATTGCACAAGTTGATAGGCCAAAATTGGTCAATCGTCTCTAGGTTCTCACATTTTGGAATGAGAGCAATGAAAGTATTGTTTAATTCTCTCATCATTTTCCTCCAATGGAAGAATGTCTAGATTGTCTTTTCAATTGAATAATGCGTTCAAGCACTTTATCACATTTTATTATATTGCCATCCCTTTTCTTCATCTAAAACCATAACATCTGCCAAATGATCATTTGCAAATATAACATTCAGATCACAAAAAGTTTTGTTATTGTAAAATAATAAAGAAGGCAGAATGTAATTTATCGGTAATTGCTTTATAAAATGAGAACTTGCAAGAGTGTAGTGTTGCAGAACTGCAAAACTAAGAACTTGTAGAGAGAAGGAGGGCTGAGTTGACTTGGTCACTCTCCTTAAAACCACATTTGCCCTCTATGGTGTAGCCGGATGATTGTAAATTGGTGGCCAAGATAAAATAGCCCACATGTCACTGGTAGTTGTGCACTCGCTTACCAGACCTCCGTGAATCACAGAGAATGATGCTCAGATTGACAAAGAAGACATTGAAGAGAAGACTATCGAATGTTGGTGTGAGAAACTAGGTTGATCAACACTCCTTTTTATAGAGTGTTCTTAGTCACCCGAATGGACATAGAAGTGTCCTAGAGACACAAACCCACCCCGCCTGACTCAGCGCACACGTGTGATAAGCACCCCCAACCCCCTCACATGCATGAGAATATTTATAATGCTTTCCTCCTATGCGTCCCTACCCATAGAGAGAGCAAAACTATAAATATACTTCACCTTTACTCTTTTCTCAAACAATGTGGGACATTGAGTCTTTCCATGCATTCAAGAGAGGAAAGAGGAAAAGACAAAACTCAAAAGTACAAGGGAGAGAGGAGAGATTCTTGAAGTTTTGAATCTCCCTCCAACACTTGTTCTATATGATCCATAAACCCTAGAGAAACCCACACAGAGTCTATAATAAAGGACTAGTCAAAACCAAAAGATTGGATTTTTTTTTTCTTTTGCACTAGAAGGCCCTACCCTAGTTTCCATCAAAAAGCAAATATTAATTCCAAGAGACTTAGAAAGGTCTTTAACATGTCTTCCAAGGGCTTTCCTCTTGGCCTCTCTTACATTCTAGGCTAGCTAGTACTTTCGTTTTGCTTGCTCCTATTGAAGTTGTATTGGCATCTTCCCTTTCATCACCCTGATATCCTTTAGGGGAGATCTTGGGTTAGTCATAATTAATGGAGGTCACGTTTCTGTCTTCATGATCTTGTTGTCGGGGGTGGAGCCAGGAATTTTTTAGGGGGGAGTGTGGGAAGGGAGGAAACTTACATAAAAAATGTATTTAGTGTGCAGATTTCTAGACCATGGGGGGCCATGGCTCCCCTGGGTTTCCTCCCTTGCTTGTTGTTTTTCCCACTCAATCTCCATGCCTTATTCTTCTCCCATATTTTCTTCAAAGTTGTCATTTGCTTCCTCCTTGAGGCCCTCCTTTTCATTGTCACTGAGGTTGTTCTCCTGCAAATATACTTTCTAGAGATTTTGTCCCATTAGTTCACCAACCAATATCCTTACGAGTTTTAACAACCCATAGGGGCTCCTGCCTAAAAGATAATTGCTTAACAAAATATATGCAAGTGAAAGCTTCTTATTATTTATTTGTTTTTTGATAAAAAGAGTCTTAAGGTCCTTTAGTTAGATTAAAAGTCTCACCACTAACGGTAACAGGAATCTTACTTCGCAAAGAATAAGGTGGTGTTTGGTGCATTTTTCTGGCGTGTCTTTTGGTATGCGGGAAGTTCAAAAGATAAAAAAAATTGGTTTTTCCTATTTGGTAATGTGTAGATCAAAAGACTCGAACAGTATTGGGTTGAAGGATAGTTCAAAATATAAAATATCCAAATTCGATCTAAATCCCACGGATAAGATACGAACATTATTGGATCAAATTTGAATTCAGGTATATTTTCATTCATAAAAGAAAATTGAATTCAGGTACATATGTATGGGATATTAAAGAGATTTGTATTTTCAAGGCAGCATGCAACTCATGGTGCAACCTAGCCCATTACACTCATTTCATAAAAAAATAACCGAAAATGAAAAATCCATCCAATAACTACAATCAAGAGCTGCTCCTCAGCAATATTGGATGAATCTCATCAATCTCTTAGTTGGGTTTCCCTTTTTTTATTTTTTAATCTTCTTTTTCCCTCCAACCAGTCCTTGTCAATCATGGTCGATGGCTTTCAACAGCTAAGGCCTGAGAAGGCTATATGAGTCTGTGAAGTCAAGATCAATGCCTTCATTTGAACACGCGACGGTAGATCAGTGGCCGCACTTCCACGCGTAGGAACCATTTCAACACATGCACTTCTCTCGGCTTCTTCCTTCCTCCAATCTCCTGAACTCCTCGAAAACCTGAGCGTTTAGTAATGCCTCTCATCTCTCCATGTCCAGAATGATTTTCAGCTCTAGACTCCATAAGCCTCCTCGATTCCTTGTTTGTCCTTCTACTCCACGGTTTACAGAAACTATGACAAGAGGAACGAGGAAGAGAGAACGAGAAGATCATAACTCTGGGACAGGGACAGCACAGCCAAGGCTCCCTGCTGAAATCATGGAAGAAATCCTTTCAAGGTTGCCTGTGAAATCTCTCATTCGTTTCCAGGGTGTCTGTAAATCATGGTGCAATCTATTCAGTGATCCTCGTTTCATCACAATGAACCTGAAGCAATCAACAGAAACCAACAGACGTTCTCGTCTCATCATCTCAACTGCTTCCACGTTCTACTCAGTGGATCTTCAGGCATTCGACAGGGCCAAACGTCTTCATGTACCATTTCCGAGACCGCTCGGAAAGATCCACGTGCTGGGTTCCTGTAATGGCATAGTATGTCTGACGCTATCACAGCACGAGAAACGCATCCATCTCTGGAACCCCATAAGCAGAGATTTCCAGGACGTGCCGCTCAGAGCTTTCGACCTCCGCTATCGAAGGATGTTTGTGGGGTTTGGCTACAATCCCACTTCTGATGTCTACAAGATTGTACAAATTTACACTTTCTTTGACAGCAGTTTCAAGTCCACCAAAACAGTCGTAGATGTCTACAAGCTTCAGATGAATGCCCACGGAAGGACTCACCACCTTGGAGAAGTTGAGTATGAAATTAAAGAGGACGGGACATGGCTGCAGCTTAGTCAGGCACCAGGCAACAGAGCTCTTCACTGGATGGCAAGACGGAGGGACGATCCATACAATCATCTCAGCCCAGAAGTTCTTGTTTCATTCGATCTTGAGGATGAGAAGTTCAGAGAGGTCCAGCTGCCTGAACCCACAAAGGAATCCGGTGGCCAACTTCGCTTGACATCTCTTGATGGATGCCTGTCTGTATTTTGTATCTCCTATCCATGGGATGTTGATGTATGGGTAATGAAGGATTATGGGTTGAAGCATTCTTGGATTAAAAAGTTATCTTTTAATGTCTCAGACATTGCTTCTGGTACTAAGTTTTTTAGGCCAGTGGGATTTGGAATCAATGGGGAAGTCATAGTGCTTGATGATATTGATGGGAAATCAATATTTCTGTACGATCCTGTCTCCAAAAGGACTAGAAATGTTCAGATCCCCGGAAGAACACGATATATAAATACTTATGTGGAGAGCCTTGTTGCATTCAGAGATGCAGATTATGTGGATGGATAACAAGCAAATGTGGAAATATCAATTTGAGGTATAATTTATAAGCCTAAGTCAACAGCCTATAGGCTTATTTTTCATTTTGCTCTGTTGTCTTTTTGTTGTTTTTTATGCAACATACTAGGGAAGGAACAATGATCAATAATAAGGTTTAAATCTTAATTTCCATTTCTAAGAGTTGCATCAAGCCCCACCTCAGTTTAATAAAGAGGACTTTGATGTTTTCTAGCTAAAGAATAAACTGAGCATTAATTAGCTGAACTGGTTTGGATTCCCCACTCTATCCAATATACTTAGGGATGGACGGACTTCAAAATTCTCTATTTTGTTTTCCTGTTATATTTTTTCATTCGATTCTTCATTTAGGAATTGGTTCTTATTCTTTTACTTCTATTTATGGGTAAAATATTTCTTGATTGAAATCCAAGATTTAGTAGGCTACTCTTTTGCTTTTTTTTTTGAAGAGATAATAAAACTTTCCACTAAAAAGGCCATAGCCCGGAAAGGAACAAAAAAAGGTTTGAGTACAACCAGAAAAGATAAAAAAAGAAAAGAACAAGAAACAACCAGCTAAAGCAAACAAACAGAGCCAAAAACACCATCAGTTCTGGGTCTTATTCAATAAATTTGTTTCTTGATTGAAACAAGAAATTGAATTCCTAATGTGGTAAACCCACTTGGTTTTTATCTATTGCTCATGAAAAATGATGTGTTTTATAGATGGATCGTATTACGTTTATTTGCTGAACAAAGTATCTTATTTCTATGTATGGATTTTGGATATTGGGTTTTGAATAGTCAAATCTTGGTTCAGGAATATCCACTGTAGGTCATCCTCCAAATATTTGAACAAGCAAATTAATTGAATTATTGCCTAGATCATCAGTTTGTATTCATTGCTTAGCTTGGGTTCATATGATTTCCCATAGCATCTGCAAGTTGATATTAGTTAAGTCTATATGGTGCTTGATAGAGTCAATTCTTTTGTATGTGTACACATTATCCATCTCTTTTAATTAGTCGTTTTCATTGGCAAGTGCCAATCTAAGTATTTATTAATTAGGAATTTGTGATAGGTCCAATCAATGGATTGCAACTCCCACATTCTTTCTAACTGAGTATGAGATCTCCGATTATTTACCCTGATTATGCATAAAAGTTCATGTTTGAGCCTCATTGTTCTCAGGTCTGAAGTTGGTTGGATGGTTGATAATGAAAAGAGGAATATGTGGAAGCAAGAGGATGAAGGGTGACAGAAATCATCTTTCTACATGGCTCATCCCCCCTTTGTTTTGCATATAAGTAATCTACTACCTAAAGCTTTGTGCCTTTGTTTTGGTGATGATATTCACATCTTTTGGTATGTCTTAGCATATTTAAGGTTCCTCTCATCTTGTGTTCTGAAGTAGCACATCTAAGGAGAATGATGTTTAGCATGGTGATATCACTATTTTGTTCTGAAGTAACACCTTTAATGTTCAAAAGGATAATGATGTTTAACATGGTGATATTCTGTTCTATATTTGTTTTATCTTGTTTTACTTTGAGCTCTTCAGTTTGTTTGGTGCTTCTATGAATCTAGGATGTTCATTTAGAGGAATGAAAACCAGGTAGACATGATTTTGTAGCTCATATCGGAAAACTTATCATTATTGTAGTATTCAAGTTTTAATGTTGTAGTATAAAGAAAGTGAATTAGAATCTAGGTAGATCACTGATCTCAAATCATGGGCTACCGAAAATTAAGATTCAAGGTTAGATGTTTAGATATGGTTGCTAGTAGTATAGATTTATGTCTACTTGATCATGGAAATTGTCTCTAAGGCTGCGTTTGGAAACAATGCAAATGGAGCATAAATCCCGGTTCAGGGTAAATTTGCACTCTGGTTCACTTTTGCCTGTATTTGGCAACATTACATTTATGCATCGACAAATGACAGACCGATGCATATTTACATTGATAATAAGATGTAAAAGTACATCAAGAAAAAATAAGTAAATTTGCATTCAAGTGGGCTTTTGATAAAAAAATGCATATGCTTTATTGCAATTCATGTTTGCATCCATTACAGCCAAAAGTCTGTTTGGTAAGAAGGTAAATTTGTACTAACCCAATTTTGCAATTTAGGCTGCATTTGGAAATGATGCAAATGGAGTGTAAATCCTGGTTCAGGGTAAATTTGCATTTTGGTTCATTTTTGTCTGTGTTTGGCAACATTACATTTATGCATTGACAACTTACAGAAAACATATTTTCCGATGCATATTTACATTGATAATAAGATGTAAAAGTACATCAATAAAGAAGTAAATTTGCATTCAAGTGAGCTTTTGATAAAAACAAAGGCATATGATTTATTGGAATTCTTGTTTACATCCATTACAGTGGTAAGAAGGTAAATTTCTCAGTGCAAAACTAACCCAACTTTGCAATTTATATGGACCGTTTTACACTACATATTTGCATTCACACTTATTTGCATCATTTCCAAACACAGCCTTATATGAACCGTTTTACACTACATATTTGCATAAACGCAGCCTAATTGATCAAAAGAATCCCTTGGATATTAGTTGGTTGTGGACAGAAAAGATAAATCTATTAGTTGGTTGTGGATGGATTTTATAGATGGATCTTGGTATTTGATTCCATATTTATCTAGTCTATAACCATTTATGAATTCATTTTCACAGTTGGAAAAAAAGAGGTATGGCCATAACAAGACAACAAGCCTGGAAAATGCAGAACCTGTATGCATGTTTCAATCATGAGTTATGAGGTTAATTGATTTATTCTAACTTTCCAAAGATATATTAAGACTACTGGACAGAACAGACAAATGGGATCAGAGCAACACCATTAGATTAGGTGGGTTGTTGTGATGGCTCTTAATGGTCCAAATTTGAAGTTCCATTAAATTCTTTGGAGAAAGAAAATTTGAGAATGAGACAGAACGGCACAACAATAGCTTAAGAAGCTGTTGCAAATTGTAACTCCTCTCTCTTTCTCTCTTCTTTGAGATCATCCCAATTATTGACCATTCTCCACTGTAACTGAACAGAGCATTACGATATCTAATCAATAATTGATATATGTAACTAGTTTTCTCAAAACACAACACAGATGAAGCTTAGAAAAGAAGTCTTGGAATCAATTAATTCCAAATCTAAGGCAGCAACAGTAGGTGGGTTCTTGAGGTCTTAGTGGAATCTATTTCTGGCCAAAATGAGCCTGAATTTCTTCCTAAAGATAAGGAGAGAGATTGGAAGAGGTGTGAAGCTCTCTTAATCAGCATTTCCTACCATGTCTTTCTAGTTCTCAATTCTTTTTTTTATTAAATATAAAATTGTCACTAAAAGGCTGCATTTTCTTGCATGATACTGAGCATTTTGGGTCATCAAATGAAGTTACTTGGGCTGCAGATTAAAAGTAGTCATCAACTGAACAGTTTTAATCCCCACAGGCAATGCAATTACAAAGAAAGACAGCCATTGACGGATCCTTAAACAACTTACAGCCTATAAGATTCATGTTCCCAATCAATATCAAATGAGCAACCAGTCTGTGAATCTATTCGTACAATTTCATACATACCCCAGATTGAAAGATAAACTAGCCGATCCCATATAGTTGGGACTTGGGATAAGGAAGGATGATGATGATGAGGAGGAGGTTGAAAGATAAACTGGTAGGATTAGGAGTTGTATTACACTCCAACTCAAAGTGCATGATTCTGATCCCAAGTTCCCAACCATTTCTAAATGAACTATTTCGAGTACACAATAGATGAACCCTATGTGGGTCTGGATCCTGGGTATAATCTACCTTATCTGATGGCCCAGTAAATGGCCCAAAAGAGTAGAATTGACACTGGTATGACATCTTCGGCGAGTTGTTGCCTGCTTGTGACTTGAAACTTTGTAGGTTGACAAATTTCAACCCTCTAATGAAGAAAGGTCTAGACTTAAAAGATAGTTTCTATTTGAGACTCTATTTGGTTTACCAGAAAATTAGTGAGGGGCCTTTTAAGAAATTCCTAGGCTGCATTTGGAAATGATGCAAATGAAGTGTAAATCCCGGTTCAGGTAAATTTGTACTTTGGTTCACTTTTGTCTGTATTTGACAATATTACATTTATGCATTGACAAATCACAGAAAACACATTTTTTAATGCATATTTACATTGATAATAAGATGTAAAGTACATCATTAAAAAAGAATTAAATTTGCATTAAAGTGGGCTTTTGATAAATAAAAAGGCGTTTTATTGGAATTTATGTTTGCATCCATTACATCTAAAAGTCTGTTTGGTAAGAAGATAAATTTGTCAGTGTAAAACTAACCCAATTTTGCAATTTATATGGACCATTTTACACTCTACATATTTGCATTTTCCATACACAGCCTTGAGAACTTTCCTGTGTTCCACATATTTTATAAGTTCAGGTTAAACAGGTATATTTTGGTTGTATATTGAAGTAAATTATGGTTTATATAATTCTCTCCTTCACATGATCCAGCCAAGAAACATAGAACTCAATAGACCAGTAACTGACTGACTATATGACTCAATCATTCAAATATCATTTATCAGAAATCACAACAATAGTATAGAAGTTAATGTTCCAATAGGTTATATATGATACTGATACTTTTAAGGGGAGAAGGAGATGTCTGGGGATCAAATTTATGGAAAATTAGAACAAATGGGACAGGGCATGTGCCCTCTGGCTTGACATTGAGTGCAAGAGATGGACTTCCTCTTCATCTCACCGCCCCCAAATGACTGAAATATATCAATCACAAAGCCAAAACTGAACAGTCCACCTTCTTTGACAGAGCCAACTCCTTTTCATCTTGATCTTTTGCACATACCCAGGGATCTATGTATCTAATGATTATGAATCTATAGAATAATACACTGTAAGCATGCCCAGCATTGATATCAGTATCATTGATTTAAGGAAAAATTCCATTTTAGTATCCTGAACTTTGGGGTAGTGTCAAGTTAGTACCTAAACTTTTAAAAAGTGTCAAGTTGGTTCTTGCCGTTAATCGACTGTCAGTTATCTGTTGAAAATGTCAAAAACTACCTTTTAAAAAAATACATTGTTCATTGTCTTCTACCTTGAGACTGAACTGGTTGAGGTGCATGCTTGAGATTCTAGACTAAGGAAGTCATTGTCTTCTACCTTAGATCTGAAACACATTCTTGTCTAGTTATTTCTTTGCTTGCAGTTATTGTTTTCCTCTATCATATTTCATGTTTTTTCTCTTTTTCTTTGAAGATAATCGGTTCAGTGTTAAGGTAGAAGATAATGAACAGTGTCTTATTCTGAAGGGTAGTTTTGACATTTTCAATAGATAATTGATGGTTGATTAATGGTAGGGACCAACTTGACACTTTTGAAAGTTTAGGTATTGTATTGACACGTTTAATTGAAAGTTCGGATTCTAACTTGACACTATCCCCAAAGTTTAGGGGTACTAAAGTGAAATTTTACCTTGATTTAAAGCACAAAAAAGAAATAAAACAAAAATGGTGCCATGCATATTAGTGTAAAGTGTAAACCAATACTAAAACCTGGATCATTTATCAACGCAGAAAGCTGGTTGGGTGGCGGGTTTGGCTGTTCAACACAGATGGTTCGCATGTTGACATGGTCAAACCGCTAAAATCCAGACCCACTCAGTCACCTGAATCACTGGTTCAACCAGCCGGGTCAACAACAATTTGAATCTGATAGCAGTTGATAGACAACTGGGTATGTCTTTCTGGCAGAATGGATTTTTCCTCTATACATCAAAGTTCTCCATTCCATCCCAAGGAGGAAAAAGAATTAATAGTTCCAGAACTTTTCCTTTTATCATTGGCTTTTTGTGAGGGACATTGGAACAATTTCGCTTTGATGCATAGAAATTCGTTAAGGAACTTATTTCTCCCTCTACGCTATTCTGCTGATGCTTGCTATCTCAATAATCATATCTAGGTTTTATTTTCGTATAGCCCACAAAGGTTTAATTAGCTGGATGTATTTGTGAATTTCATAATCAATTTGGAATTTGCTCTGTCCCTTTTTCTTTTTTTAGAAATGTCAATGTTAAGCTTATTTGTCTCAATTTTCTTTTCTGTTCTTGTTTACGGTCAAAAGTGACATGAGATCAAAATACTTTGACTGACTCACACCACAGTTAGAACCAAAAGCAAAGTTAGGCTTACCTCCTTTGAGAAGCAGAAATGAAGGCATCAATTATGCTTGATATTCATACTACGATTAAGGTGGTGTTTGATAAATCTAAAATTATAAAAGTTAAAATTATTAATATATTATTTGTGTTTGAAATCTAAAAAGAAGCATAGATGTTTTTCTATCTTTTTTAGAGGCTTTGATAAATTTGTTTGTGTTGTGATGCAGTGTGATCTGGACACTCCTAGTTGGTGGAAACTTGGCTCCTATCTAGTGACGGACGGTACCTGAGACGAAGAGGAAAGTGAAGAATTCCCAAGAAGCTCGCCCGGCGGGAACACTCCGATGCTTAAGTTAGAACTCTAAGAGAACTGTAGAGTGTGCAAAGAGAGAGAGAGAGAGAGAGAGCTAAGAGTGCAGATGGCGCCAGTTCAGTACCTTTGCTCCTTGGGGATCGGGGTCTTTTTAATATTGATGCCCTGTCAAATCGGACGTAACCGTCTTTGGCCCTCTGTCGCAGCCGTTATTCGCTAGGGCTGCGCAAGTAACCGTTGCAGGGTACTGCCCAATCAAGTGAAAGGCACAACTCGGAAAGGACAGGCACGCCGCCACCTGTCGAGAGACGTGGGTGCAGACCGCTGGTGCTGGCAGAGACTGCGCCGTCAGTCAAGAGACGTGGGTGCAGTCTGGCGGGTACGGTCTTGCAGTGAGCTGCCTTGTAGCGAGCTACTGAAGGCGTCCCGAGGTGATTCCGTTAGGTCTTTGAGACGGCCCTTTTGCCTAAGGATTGGAGCGAGTTGATTGTCCTAGCTTGCGAGCTGGGATAGACTTAGCTTGGAGTGTCCCCTTTGTCATACTGACGTGTTCGAGCTCGTGCCATAGCGAACTTGTTCCGTAGCGAGTTTGTCATGTAGCGAGCTGGCCCGCGAGGGCTTTAGCGAGCTCGATGCACCGAGTAGCCAGGTTGTCGCGTTGTGCTGTCACTTACGTCGAATCAAGTCTACGTGTCACCTGCTCAGGAGGTTGGGTCAAATCACCCTCCATCATGTTGGATCAAACTTTTAGTATCTAAAATTCTCTAATTTTACTATTTTACCCTTAAAACAGACTATTTGGTAAAAATTATAAAAAATTATTAAAATCAAAATAATATTGAGAAGTATGAATAAATGCCAATCAAAAAGTAATAAAATAGTTAATAATTAATAAAAAAATATTTAATAATTAATAAAAAATAAAATATTTAATAATTAATACAAATAATATATTATGGGAAACCAGTCCTCCACTTCTAGACATAAATCTGGCAAAATGATCCTCAATAAAAAGCCCTTTAGTGTTCAAATCTATGTTCATGACAACATTTTTGAGACTAGGAAGATTTGAATCATTCTTTGATGAGGATCTTTCCATCAATCTTTCCGGCAACAACTCTGAGACAGGCCCTTCAACCAATCTTTTTGTTGTACATCGACCACGACCTTGCAACTAGCCTTGGTGAGATCCAAGTAGAAATCGCGGCTAAGGCCTGAAGAAGTGCTGGTAACATCACTATAATAGGGGAGGGAGGAAGAGAGAGAACAGGGGAGAAAAAGAAAATGGGGAAGAAGAGAAAGAGAGGGGGGAGAAGAGGAGAACATAGACTGTCAATGCTAAGAGTTGCAATGGTGATCGAAAATGAAAAACAAAGTGAAAGTTGCGAAACCAGAGAGGAAGAAGAAGAAGAAGAAAAAGAGAGAGAGAGAGAGAGAGAGAGAGAGAGAGAGAAGGTCGGAGGAGTCACTTGCTGCCGTTGGTTCATCGCTGCGTTAAGTGGAGAAGATGAACAATGGGATGGAGAAACACATCTTTAGTTCAGATCATTAAGGGTATTTTGGACTTTTGGCTAGGTTAGAGATGCGTTTGATCACGTTTAGTGCTTGGCCTGGGTCTTATTAATTCAGATCTGAAAATTCATTTCAGACCCAAATCCAGATACACTTCCAAACACCTCTAGTGTCTAGAAAACAACATTTTTCAGACTTCAGAGATCTGAAAAGTGTTATCAAACACCACTTAAGTATCAAAGTATAAGTATCAGGTAACGTATTTTGGGCAATTTGGATATAAATAGAAATACATTTTGGAAACACATGGATATGGGCAAAACATATGAAAACATTTGGATGCACTAGGAAAATGCATACAATGATACAAATCACATAAATGCATTAATAACATTAATTCTAAAGATGAGTTATCTATGAATAAGGAATAAACACATGAGAGATGCACACTTTAATAGGCTATATGAAGAGAAACATTATATGCCATAGTATCAAGACTTTAGAACATGTACAAATCATACAATAATTATCACTCTATTCCAATTTTAATAATTATAATTTTCAATTTTTATTAAGTTTTTGGTAAATTTTATTTATTAGTATTTTTATATAAATAGCAACCTTATTTTTTTCAAATAATAAGTAGGTTTTCATTTTTCACATATAATTGTTTTATTTTACACATAACGATAAAATAAAACATGTAAATCATTTATGATAGATAAAATAAATTATTTTTGAAATTTTCAATTTTATTAAATTTTTGAAAAAATAAATTTAAATTATTTATTTCATTTTTTATAAATATATTTTTTAACTTTTATTAACTTTGTTGGGAAAATTTATTTATATAGTATTTTTATATAAATAAAATAACTATTTTCAAATAATAAATATGTTTTCATTTTTAACATATAATTCATTGGTAAAATAAAACATATAAATCATTTAAGGTAAATGAAATAAATTGTTTTTGTAATTTTTAGTTTTTATTTAACTTTTGGGAGAAATTTAAATCTTAAATTATTTATTTTAGTTTATATAACTATAAATTTCAATTTTTATTAAAGTTTAAAAATATTCCACAAATAGTCAATATACATATTCGTCGAACTAGGCATTGATGTATCAAACTATATCCGTTGATATGGTGCAATACAACCTGATATGGAGTTGTATCGTATCGATACACATGACTTGTGGGATACATGTCCAATTGGGCATATCATATTGATATTTTAATCCTTGGTACCAACAAAAAAGCTTGCCAATTCACTTTGGGGGCTGCAAGGCTTGTATGGCATAATTGGGAAATTTCTAGTTTTCTACCTATCCAAAACTCCTCCATACCCAAGTTTTGGTGAACTTTTCTTTCCTATGAACTTTGAATGGAAAGAATGTTGTTCTGAATTCTAAATCATGAAAATTGTCAAATATCCATTTTGACTCCATATATGAAAGTTTTTGTTTGTCTTTTTGGGGGTATCATTGGAAAATAAAAAAATTGTATGATTGCAATTTAAGAGATAAGAGGAAACAAAAACCATTTTTCTCTTAAAATTAAAAAATTCCTCTTAAGAGATAAAGAGTTCGGAGGAAATGAACAGGCCCTTACAAATGAAAAATGGGGTTATCGCTGTGTTCTTGGGGTCTTTGGGGAATCTATTTTCTGATCAATCTGGGACTGAATTTCTACCAATCTCTGTTTCAAATATAAAGAGAAAATTGGAAGAGGTGTGAAGCTCGTGTCTGCATTTTCACCTACTGTCTTTCAAGTTCTAAATTCTTTTATTTTATATATACCAATCAATAGAAAATTAGCAAACCAGACTGTGAACCTAATGCCTCCAATACGATTATGATGAGTCTGGATCTTGAATATATCTCATGACCATTGACCAATAAGCCCCAAAAAGAGTAGAATCGATACTGGTGTAGCATCTTCACCAAGTTGTGTCTGGCCTGAGTAGGTTAACAAATATCAACCCTCTAATGAAGAAAATCTTAGATTTAAGGATAGTTTCTATTTAAGGCTGTGTTTGATTTATCAGAAAATGAGTGAAATTCCTCATAATTTCTATTCAGGTCAACCAGGTTTGTTGTGATTGAAGATAGAAGGAAATTAAGGTTTATATAATTCTCTTCCCCTTCTTCTCACCAATTTGATTGCTTCCTGACAAGATCCACCATATTGAAAAACATATAGACTAGATTATTAATTTGATAGATTTAGTCAGCTTGGGGCCAGAGCTCAGCTAAGAAACATAGAATAGAACTCAATAGACCTTGATTAAAAAAAAATCAATAGACCAGAAACTGACTATATGATTTAATAATTCAGATATGATTTATCAATTACTACAACAACAATATAGAAGTGAATTTTCCAATAGGTTGTATACTTGTATATTACAATGATACTTTGAAGTATAAAAGGGGAAAAGAATGTCTGGTGAGCACACTTATGGCAGATTAGAACAGATGGGACAGGGCATGTGTCCTCTGGCTTGGCATTGGGTGCAAGAGATGGACTTCCCCTTCATCCCACTACCCCCGAATTGCTGAAATATGTCATCTACAAAGCCAAAATTGAACAGTCCACCTTTGACAGATCCAACTCCCTTACATCTTGTGCAAGGTATCATCCTCAAATCACCGCATCTTTTGCACATACCAAGGGAACTGTGTATATAATGAGTTAGTTGTCATCACCAAATCCAAAAAGAAGTTTCAACATGATTATGAACCTAAACCATATTAATACAGACTGTAAGCATGGCCAGCACTGATGTCAGTATTTCTATAAATAAAAAGGAAAATCAGTGCATAGAAGTACAAATCAGTTTAGAGCCCGTTTGGAAGGGCTTCTGTGTTGACTGAGCCGCTTTGGAGAAGCTACCTGAGTTCACCAAAGTCCATTTTACAATTCATGTAAGCCTATTCCTGGCTTTTCGGATTTTTATCAAACACGGCTTCATGGCATTTCAAGCTTCTAAGCTCATATAACGTCATAAACCGCTGCATGAAAGCCCTCCCAAACGGGTACTTAAACTCCAGATTATTTATCAGGAAAGCTGGATGGGTGGTGGGTTTGGACCGGGTCAGAACTGTCAAAACACCCAGGACCCAGTCAGCTGCCTGGGTCACCGGGCCACTAGTTCAACAACCCGGGTCAATAACAGTTTGAAAACATTAGTGTAAATAGGTGATAGAGATCTCGGTCTAAAAGTTCTTCAATCAACATAAGGATATTGTAATGGCATATTTTGCCACCTTAGTCTATGTTTGGTTGCAGACTTGAAGTGCAATTTTATTTGCACTAGTATAAATGTATGGGAGTGCAAATGAAAAAAATGCAAATTCTTGTTTAATTTTATTTTAAGTTTTACTTCATTCTGCTTGGTATCTTAATTTACTTCATTTTTACTACAGTCAAACAAAATAAGTTAAGATTTGAAACAAAAATATATCATAATTTACACTCAAATCGTTTGCACTGATTGGTTTTACATCAGTGCAAATTTATTTGCATTGCAACCAAACACAGCCTTAAAAACAAAAATATGCCAATTTGGTTGCACAAATCCTGTTTAATCGATTGATTCGCATAGTGATAAAAATTCATAAAATAATTTGGGTCCCATTTGGCTAAGCTTTTGCTTTTGAGCTTTGATAGTGGGAAACAAAAGTGAGCCAAAAAGTGTTTTGAATATTTGATAGCAGTAGCTTTTAAAAATATTACATTCTGAAGCTGAACCACTTTTAAACCCAAAGCACAGATCCTAATTCTTGATTTTGAGCTTTAAAAGCACAATTCTTGATTTTGCACTTTAAAAGCACAATCTTATTTGCTTATTTAAGATAAATACAATCTTAGGGTCCATTTGGTTTCCTGGAATAGGTGCCTGGAATCAGAATCGGAATGGACCATTGATTCTGGTTCCCATTTTTGGTGGAATGGGATTCCCCCATATGGGCAATGGCCATTTCACCTCCCCCTCTAAGGAGGGAATGGGGCAAAGTTTGTAAAAAAGTAAAGAATTCATGACAAAAAACCCCAAACCCTAATAATAATAATAATAATAATACAATATTAATAACCAATTTATGAAATAACAATAAAACATTAATAGTTAAATAATAAAATATTATAAAGTAACAATAAGATAATAATAATAAAATAAGAATATATTAATAATTAAATAGAAATAATATTAGTAAAATATTAATAAAATAATATAAGTATAACAAAATACTTATTTATTAAATAATAATAAATTAATTTTAAAATAATAAACAAAAATAATAGAATAATTAACAGACTAATAAGAAAATAATATTAAAGTCATTATAAAATAACACTATATTAACAAAATATTCATAAATTAATGATAAATAATAAGATATTAATTATTAAATGCCAATAAAGTAATAATAACAAATTATGAATAACATAATAATTATATATTCATAAAATGTTAATACAAGTTTTAATAAAATAATAAATAGACTAATATAAAATTGAAAATTTCAAGTGATTCTGATTTCAACTCCAAATGAACTAAACAACAACTGGAATCTGATTCCGATTCCTGACTAAACCTAACAGACATTAGGAATAGGTGATTCTGATTCCGATTCCAATTCTGATCCTGTTTATGAAGTATGAACCAAATGAACCCTTAATTATGTAGTGTTGTCAATTGGTCAGGTCTGGTAGGGGTCTAGGTAGACTAAGGGCATGTTAGTTTGTTCTTAAGTCTGACATCTGAAAGTGTAATAATTACATTAAGAGGTATATTGGTATTGACGAACTTTTCTTTCCTCTGAACTTTGAATGTAGAGAATGTTGTTCTACATTCTAAATTCTGAATTCTGAAAACTATCAAATATCCATTTTGACCCCATATATGAAAGTTTGTGTTCGTCTTTTTGGAGTACATTGAAAAACAAAAAGTTGTATGATTGCACTTTAAGAGATAAGAGATAAGAGGAAATAAACAACTAATTTTCTCTTAAAGTTAAAGATTCCTCTTAAGAGATAAGAGCTAAGAGCTAAGAGGAAACAAACAAGCCCTAAGTCCCAACCCAATGAGTATGTGCAGAACCGATTTGGAACAACCACAACTGATGCCGACCCAATTATAATACATACCCTATATAATTGGGTTGGCTTGGTTTGGGTCTATCAGGTCTGCCCAACCCATTGACAGCCCAATAGTTATTAAAATTAATAGGCTTGAATAAGCAAATACAACGTTCTGCACTCCATTTTAATATGGCGTTAAAGAGGAAGGAAAAGGGAGTCAACATTCATTTTATAACAGATATAGTTCCATAACTATTCTTTTCCTTTATATCCATAGCTTTTTGTGAAGGGACAATGACAATTTTTTCCTTGTAATTTATTCTTCATAACCTTATTTCTTAAGTCAGGAACTTACTTTCCACTGCCTTGTTCTGTTGATGCCTTCTACATCAATAGCAAATTTAGATTTTATTTTCTTATAACCTTCAAAGGTTTAACTAAGGGGGCATTCTTTTTTTGGATTTTGAGAAGGGGGAAAGTTGGTCAATGGGATTTTGGTTTCCATTGACCAAGAATACCATGTTCATTTTTCATATTAATGTGGGGACCGGGAAAAGTTTATTTTCCTGGCAAAGTGATACCCATCTCCTAGGTGGGTAAATAACTTTTTCCACCTAGGAGGAAAGTTGCTAACATTTAAATGGGACAAAAATGCCCCTTTTAATAATTGATTTTTATGACTAAAATGGTCATTACCTTGAGAAATAAGAAAACATGGATAAATGCAATTACTTAGGTAAGTTTTTCCTGGGAAACACTTACCCGGGTAAGTGCATTTACCCGGATAAGTAACTTACCAAAAAACGAACGGGGCCTAAATACCTTTGTGTATTTGATACTCAATCCAGTGACCAAGCAAAACTAAGTGCCATTTGAGAAGTCTTTTTTACAAAGATCATCCAACAGCTCTACATGGTCAAACGATGCATTGAACTTTTGGGTCTTGTTTTTAAAGATGAAGACTTGTTTTGTAAGTGGCTCCACATACTAAGTTTTCAGAAACATGCAAGGTGGCAACCAGCTGGGTTGGGGAGACTTGGGATCGAATCCTGCCTGCACCTGGGTTGGGGGGATTACGGTTTGGGGTTGGGCTACCCCTTTGTATAGCCCTTCAAAAGACATTACAAGAAAAGCTTTCAAAAACACATTTAAAGGCTATTTATCACATGGGAAAATTCAAAAGCTTCATTTGAAATTTCCCAAAATTTGCCAATTTTGATCTTCTTGAGTCTTTTTGGACATACATCTTCTGATCTTCCCAGAAACGGAACAGAAAAGGGCCAATTTTTGGCCCTCCGAGCTTGCCAAAGCTACAAGACCACATGGAAAGATTTGCCAAATTCAGCCTAAGAATACAACCTAAAAATAATCTTAATTTCCTTAAACTAAACCCAACTAGAATCTTCAACAAGAAAACAAAAAACCAACAGAAATAAATCCAAAAGCAAATAGGTTAATAAACAACAAGTTTGCTTATTTTATCAATTATACTTAAAAGCAGTTCATCCTAGCAAATAGGAATGTCATATTAAGATTATTTTTCTCAGTTTTCTTTTCTGCTCTTGTTTACAGTCAAAAGCTGCATGAACTAAAATACTTGACCGACTAACACCCACAAACAGAACCCAACGCAAAGCAAAGATAGCCTCACCTCCTTTGAGAAGCTGAAATGAAGGCATCCACTTTGGGGGCCGCAATAGTGGCACAAAGTAAGAGAGTACCAACACCAAACCCTGCTAATTCACTCGCTGTGATATTTTCCATTATTTCCCGACCTTTGCTTAATTCCTCAACTCGTTCACAACCTTCCAACGACCAAACTGAAAAAAAGGAAAAAAAAATGTCAAAGTTGTAGCCAATCATCAATCACTAATGAATTCTCTGTCAAGTTACAGAAAAAGCAATCAGAACTCCTTATTTCCCACTCTTGACAAAGAAACAGAAAGAACATTCTAAAGAGAGAGAATGAGAGAAATCTTCAAAATCCACTGAGAATTTCAAAGCAACTAGGCTTTTTCTTTGCATATCAACTGAAATCATAAGAAATAGACACCACAATTTGCTGTGAGGGAGGGGAAGAGTATACCTGGCCGCGGGTATCAACGGACAGAGACAATCTAGTGATGGGTTCTCAAATTTCCAGTCAGATTTCGCTTCCTGCCCCAATTGGGTCCGAGCTTCCTCTATTTTTCTGATCCTCTCGGAAAGAAGAAGAAGATAAGGAGAACGGTTTCTGAACATTAACGCTGGCAACGACATTTTATACGAAAATATTGAATGAATAAGTTGAAAATTCAGGGGCATTTAGGTAAATGTATATTTTGGAAGCTCCGGAACAAAAAGATTTTCCCACCCAGTGGAGAGTAGCAAAGTAGCAAAACCTCAGAAATCCCCTAACAATGGCGATGGTGGCCGAAGGTGTAGGGACACTGCAAATCCACAGAATCTCACAACCGAAATACATAGACGCCCTTCGCTGGCTTTCTCCCCTCTCTGCATTCGAGAGATTCGCTGTTCTTGCGCTCCACGACTCCGATTCCGATGTTTCCTCGATCGAGATTCAGGCCCTGAACCGCTCGAACCCATCAAACCTCCACCTTCAATCTTCGTGGGCATCTCCCGCCAGAATTTCGACCCTCAGAGTTTCTCAAATCCCTCAAAAACCTCTCGTCGCGGCATCCACCTATATGGGTTCTCTCCACTTCCTCTTCACTGACCCGGTCGATGCTTCTCTTGAATCGGAGCTCTCACTCGCTGAGAAGTCATTCCATGCTGGACCCATTTCGGGAATTGATTTGCAAGGTACTGGTTCTGAATGTGTTAGCGTGGGTGAAGATGGGAGGGTGAATTTAGTAACTATTGGGGATTCTAAATTGAATTACCGTCGGGTCTTCGATAGCCATGGGTTGGTGTCTTATACAGCAGCCAAGTGGGCTTCACCAGCCGAGTTTGCGACTGGGGGCTTAGGATTCAGTCTTCAGTATTGGGATCAAAGGAAACCCGGTGGAGCAGTTTCTCAGTTCAAGGGCAACTGGTAAGAGAACTTCTATCGTGCTCTTAATTCACATGCTTTACTTTATGCAAACCATTAGTATATAAGTGATATCTCTCTATTTTCACATCCTTTTCATCCTTCTGCTTGTTAGTTAATTAGAAGTTCTTTACAGGCAATGGTGATCATATTTCGATGAGTTCCTCATTATTTTATTTGCTGTTGCTTTGGTCTTCATTATTGATCATGCATGTCTACCTTATTCTGCAACAATTCACAGGCATAAAAACTTCATTAGTCATTTTGTGAGTATGATCTTGGATGGGTTACACTTTCTGAAAGTCTTGTAAATCATAGAATCCAATTTTAGCTTCCAAGTTTGTTTCAGAGAATTTAATTGATAACTGATCCACTTTCTGATTGGATCATGGCTTAAAACCAACAGGGGTTAGATGTGTTATCTGTCCAGTCTCCCGAATTTTAATGGCCAATATAGTATGATCAATGGTACACTAGGTTGGTTGAGATTTGGATCATCTGGTTGCTAGAAGGGGTTATGACAGAATGACATATATAGTATGAGTAATGGTACACTGGTTTTACTTTCTAATTGACAAACCGTCAGGTTTGCGATGAAGTGAAAAAATCTCAGCGCAGGAAAGAGTTTGCAACGAAAGAAAATCATAGTTGTCAGATGTACTTCTCTGTTTTCCATGTATTAAATACAAGAGAGATTTACATATTTATAAGTGACGGGAAGGCAGATTAGTTGCAATCTTGAATCCTGTATAGCTGTCTTGCCAGGTCAGCATATTTTAGTTTTAACTGCCTAACCGCCGTGTGTCCTTGCTAACACCCCCTCTCAAGTTGGAGTTTGGTACGCCCAACTTGGAACGGAGAAAATGGAATTGGTCTGCCCCGAGAGTTTTGGTGAACAAATCGGTAGTCTAGGATCTGGTAGAAAGATGTTGCAGTTGAATAGTCTTCTTTTGTACATATTCTTGGACAAAGTGACAGTCGATGTCAATGTGTTTCGTTCTTTCGCGAAAGATAGGATTGGTGGCGATGTGTATGGCTGCTTGACTATCACAAAAGAGTTGGATGGGTTGTGTCAAGGAGAGTGTAAGGTCACAAAGAACATGTAGTAGCCAAATGAACTCGCTTGTGGCCATTGCCATTAGACCTGTTCATGGGCCGGGTGGCCCGACGGGCCGGCCCGACCCGGCCTGGCCCCCTGATGGGCTTGAACATGTTTATAGGCCCACGGGCTTAAACTCGGGCCAAAAAGCCTGACCCACAATAAATTCGAGCCAGGCTCGGGTTTTGTCAAAATAGCCCGGCCCGACCTAAAATTAGATTTAAATTGGGTTATGTGATTATGTCCATTTGAATAAATTTCTTGATTTAAGAATGTAAAACTGTGTTTTAAAACGTAAAAGAAAAGGAAAAACCCATCTTGTAGGCCCATTGTTCATTTAAATAGGAAAAAAAACCATCTGAATTTTTAATTCTAATTTGAATAGGGAAAATTGTAATTTTTTTTATTAGGTCGGGCTTCGGGCTCAGGCTCGGGCCTAGCGTATTTCCATTAATGATGAGTAAAAGCCCGGCCCGAGCCTGGCCCGGCCTGGCCCATGAACAAGTCTAATTGCCATAGCCCGATATTCAACTTCAGCAGACGAACGGGAGACTGTGGCTTGTTTCTTCGTCTTCCAAGAGAGGACAGATGTTCCCAACATAGTAACATATCCAGTTGTGGATTGACGCATTAAAGGACACGTGGCTCAATCTGAATCACAATAAGCATGAAGGGATAAAGCTTAAGAGGAAGAAAAGAAGATGGCTTGTGTTGGATTAGTTTTAATGTATCGAACTATCCTCTTGGCGGCTTGCATGTGTTCCTCCCGTGGAGCATGTAGGAATTGTGAAAGCATATGGACTGGAAAGCTGAGTTCAGGCCGTGTAATGGTCAATTTCATGAGGCGGCCCACCAATCTTCTGTATTGTGAAGGGTCTTCTAGTAATGGGTTATCCATGTCTACGAATTGTCGTTGTTGTTCCATGGGATGTGAGACGGTATTAGATTCAATCATTCCAGTTTCAGTAATGATGTCCAAGGCATACTTATGTTGACAATCAAAGATGCCTGAGTCTGTCCTCCAAGCCCAAAAAATACCGAAGTGGGCCTAGATCCTTGAGATGAAAGCATTCATTGAGGTGGGCTTTGAGGGCAGCAAACGAACTGGGTCATTGCCTGCAATGACCAAGTCATCAACATATAAAAGAACGTTCACGAAGGAATCTGGTTGAGTGGATGTGAAAAGAGAATAATCTGCCATAGACTGGGTGAATCCAAACTTACGAAGAGCAGCAACAAACTTCTCAAACCAGCAGCGGGATGCTTGTTTAAGTCCATACAAGGACTTTTGAAGTTTGCAGACTTTGTTCTTTGCTTGTTTAGGTAACCCCAAGGGAATGGACATGTATACTTCTTCTATCAAATCACCATGTAAGAAGGCATTATTGACATCTAGTTGGTGCAGAGCCCACCCTTTAATAGCAGCAAGGGCCAACAAGCAACACAATGTTGTCAATTTTGCAACGGGTGCATATGTATCATGGTAGTCTTGTCCTTCAATTTGGTTGTATCCCATGGCTACGAGACAAGCTTTATATCGCTCGATTGTACCATCCGTCCGAAGTTTTAATTTGTAAACCCATTTGGAGCCGATGGGTTTCTTCCCAGGTGGTAGATCAACAATTGTCCAGGTATGGTTATGTTTTAGAGCAGCAATTTCATCATCCATTGCTGTACACCAATTTGGATCCTTGATGGCTTGAGAATAAGAGGTTGATTCTGGGGGTAGAGAAGCAGTAGCATTCAGGGTAGTCAAGGAAGTGGGAATGTTGCAAATGTAATCCTTTAGGTGTGCAGGCTATCATCTGTCACGGTAAGGTCGTGAGGGCTGAACACAGGTGTTGTGAACAAGACTGGATTCAGATGGCTCTGTGGTGGATATGTATTATGAACCTTCAATTAATGGATCTCTGTGGGTGGCTCTCCTGAATTGATGTCGGTGAGAGAAGTGCTAACGGGCTCTGAGATGGGACCAACATCAATTGAATTGTGATGGATTGCTGGATCAATGAAGGGATCATCATTTTGTGGTAAAGGGATGGCAATACCCGGATTGTTGTCTGATGGTGATGTGTGTTGCTGTTGAAAAGGGAAAACATCCTCATAGAATGACACATCTCGAGATGTAAAGAACCTACCAGTTTCAAGGTTGTACACCTTGTACCCCTTTTGACCATAAGGGTAACCCACGACTATACAACAAGAAGCACATGGGGCGAATATGTCCTTGTTGGGAGGTCGTTCTTGGGCATAGCATAGACACCCAAATGTACGGAAATGCTCATGACTAGGGGTTTTGTCAAGTAGCATCTTATAGGGTGTTTTTCTTTGTAAAGGGACTGCAAGAAGGTAATTTATGATGTAGGCTGCAGTCAGAACGCATTCTCCCCAAAATGATATCGGCAGCGAAGCTTGGAATCACAATGATCTGGCCACCTCAAGTAGATGCCTATGTTTCCTCTCAACAATCCCGTTTTGTTGAGGGGAATCAACACATGAATGTTGATGCATGATATCATTATTCATGAAATAGGACTGCATGGGCCCTGATAGAAATTCTTTACCATTGTTAGATCTTACTGCACGTACAACTGTATTGAATTGTGTGCGCACCATATTACAGAATGAAACCAAGAGAGAGTATGTATCTGATTTGTGTTTCATAAGGAAAATCCAAGTTGTGTGGTTGTAGTCATCAACAATGGATAGGAAGTAATGAGCACCATCATGTGTTGGAGTGTGGTAGGGACCCCAAATATCACAGTGGATCAGATCAGATGGAGCAGAGGCTCGAGACACACTTATTGGGAATGGAGTGGGAGTTTGCTTGGCCCGTTCACATACGTCACATGCATGTTTTGGTGGAGTAATGTGATGAGTTACCGTTCACCTCGGAAGCCCCTTCAAGGGTGGCTTAATCTCCTGAAACAGAAGATGGGAGGGAAAGGGGAAAGGTAGGAAGAAAATGACTCGGAGAGAGAGATGAAAGGGATATTCATTCACGCCACTTATTACATGATCAGGGCCTTATATAGCTGGCCTACATGTATGCAATCATGGAGAGAATATCTTCTGGTGGCAGTGTAACTAACTCTGGGAGGCTTTACCGCTAGACCTGTTCATGGGCCGGGCCGGGCCGGGCTTTTAGTCTTCATT